CTACTACTACTACTACTACTACTACTACTACTACTACTACTACTACTGCGACGGCCACCTCCACCACCACCACCCTACCTACCTACCTACCTACCTACTTACCTACCTACCTACCTACCCACCTACCCACCCACCGACCGACCTACCTACCTACCACCTACTACATTTTTGATGAAATCCTAAATGTCTAGGGCTCAGGGCCAATGAACTGGCTTATGAAACAATAAAAACAAACATTTGACAAGCTCATAAAGGGTACCCCTCACAAGGGCCGGTCCCCCATCAATAATCTGCACTACTACCCCCTATTAAAATGATCCTGTGTCCCTGGCTTGTTCTTTGTGCTTGCTTAAGCTTATTGTGACTACTACTACCACTACTGCTGCTGCTACTGCAACTACCACTACCACTACTACTACTGCTGCTGCTGCTGCTCCTACTACTATTTTTATTACTACTACTACTCCTACCACTACTACTACCGCCACTACCACTGCCACTGCCACTGCCACTCCCACTACCACCACGACTACGACTACTACTACTACTACTACTACTACCACCACCACTCCCACTGCCACTGCCACTACCACTGCCACTGCCACTACCACTACCACTACCACTACTACTACCACTACAACACTACTACTACTACTACTACTACTACTACTACTACTGCTACTGCTACTACTGCTACTACTACTGCTACTACTGCTACTACTACTACTAAATCTACTACTACTACTACTACTACTACTACTACTACTACTACGACTCCGACTCCGACTCCGACTCCGACTCCGACTACCTACTACCTACTACCTACTACCGACGGCGACTGCGACTGCGACTACGATTGCTCCCTGAGCAGATTATTCAGTGGGAGTGGACCTCATGAGTGATATCTCATATCATATCGTCTTGACCTTGTTGACCTACCACGTGGGGGGGGGTTATTAATCCGGTCTTCGCATTGCACTGTTCCAGCCGTGAAAGCCAGCACCTCCAGCCGCCAGGCGGTATCGCATTCGCTACCGAGTCATTCCAAGAGAGGCGTCTGGACCATCCTGGCACTGAACTTCGAAGCAGAAGCAGGCGCTCCGTTCCGCGCGTGGAACAAATGCGCGCGGAATGTTGTTCCGGAAGGCCTCGTCCAGGAGCGCATCGGGCGGTCGGTCAAAGAGAATTCCAATCGTGATCCTCGGGGCGCACGTCGGTGGATGACACCGGAAAGGGCACGGTGGATGACACTGGATGACACCGCAAAGGCCGCAACGTCCGGCTGTGTGCGCGAAAGAAAATGGAAGAAACCATGTCTAGACGCCAAGTCCCTACCCCTACCAAAGCTGCTATAGTAGAAATACTCTTAGCTGCTGTTGATCCTTTTGCTGCTTCTCCTCCTTCTCCTGTTTTTCGTCCTTCACCTCCTTCTCCTCTGTCTCCGCATTCTCCTCCCCACTTCCTTTTCTTCTACTCCTTCTATTTCTCCTCCTAGTCTTCCTACCAGTCCTACTTTCAATACTCATGCCACTATATAACACCACTCAAACGACTCCAACCTCCCATGACCCCTTGTCCTTACACCGACGTGATGATGCCGCCAGCAACAACACCAGCACTATGCCATGCATGTCTGGTGCTTAGTACTAGCACAACTCCCACAACATCCCACAGGGCGAGCACTGCTGGAAAACGGTCACTTCTACCAGCTACCACCACCACTTCCACCTCTGCAGCTTCTGCCACTGCACCGAAGCCAATTGTGTCACCAAGCGTCATGGCTTGCTTTTTCGCGCGCTTTCCCTTGCCACCTCAGCAATCCCAGTGGGTTGGAGGGTCTTCCAACTCACACACGCAAACACACCCACCCATGTGAGAGGTATCAAGCTGAGTGCAGCACCTGCAATACTGAGAGGTATCATGCCATCAAAGCCGGCACAGAACTGTTCCACTTGCACGACGCCCGTGGCCAAAAGGCTATCGGCATTGTATCGATCCTTGGCTGCCGCTTCTGAAGCGGTCGACGTCGGTCTCGTCTGCAGAGGTCGATCGACGTGGAGCCGGAGGGTGACATGGATTCGACATGGAGGCGGACAGGGTCACCCGGCTTCGACGTGGTCCACTCTTTGACCGTTCGAGCGCCACCATGTCCCACCGCAGAAGTTCGAGCGGTTCCACCCGGCGGCAAAGTCCCAGACGGAGATTTCGAGCGCCACCTCGCCGTGATACGTCACGGAGCCTGTGAGACGTCATGACGCGCGAGGCGAACACCGAGAATGGCCCTGGTTGGGCCCTGGGTTGGGCCCTGGCGGGGCCCTGAATGATGTAATTGTCAATGAATCTGACCTCTGGGGGAGGGATCGTCACAGCCCTGCTGGTTTTTCCGGATTTTCGGTGGATAGGGGTTCGTTTCTGCAAGACCTCAGAATAGAGTTCGAAGTTGGATCAGCAGCTGAACTCGTGAACTGGATGTACCTCAGTGGTGTGGCTTTATGATCTTTATTGCGTTGATTCGATGGGAATGGTTTCGTGGGCGTCACTTGGACTACAATTGCAACTCTCTTCCATGGTCTTCCTCTAAGTCTCCCATTTCCCCCCCACCCTTTCTGGCACCTTTGGAGTCCCAAATAGGATCACCACCGGCATCTGCCAGGACGCTGGTGCGGACTTCCTGCGCCGTGCGGAGACCCACCCCACAGCGGGCATGCACCGAAAGCGGCCAACGAACAAGCGGTGCCATCAGACCACTCCAATCCAAGGCGGGTGCACTCCGTGGAATCGAACTGAAAACCAATGAACACCACCTGTTACAGTAATATAAAGGAAGATGGTAATCCACATGCCATGCCATCCACCTCCATGATGATTCCGGGGAGTGTAGATTGGTTCGCGTGTGTTGCATTGGCAGGTTGGTGGAGTAAAGTGCTGCAGTCCTGGAGTCCATGGAGGGGAAGGTCAATTGTTTTTAATATATATAGTTTTAATTACGGTAATCAGTTCCTTCGTGTGTCTTAATACAGTAATCAGTAATCACTACATGAAGCATGTCAAAAAAGTTGGGATGGAAACTGGACATACGAGGCACGTCCCTAAACTCTAAAACCCTGGCTGTCTTCCTGGCCTCCTTGCTGCCGCGGAAGCGAACAATCGCATAAGGATCCAGTTTGTCGAACCAGCCGCCCGAGGTGAGATTGGAAGCGTTCCGCACATAGATATGTGCCTGGAAGATGCTGAATGAGAGACGCTCAAAGGCGGTGGTCAGAACGTTCTGATCAGGGACACTCTGACACTTGTATTCAGTGAACTCAGTTACGTACCACGTTGGGAAGGAAGGTGAGGGAAACGTAAGGTGAAAAAGTCAGCGCAACTGAAATGTTTAACAATCTGTTCACTCATCTGCAGAAGCGCGGCTGAACGTCGGCGGCTGAAGGCAGCGGTGGGAAACCTGTTTTGGGGTGGTAGCGTGAAGAACCATGAATCAAAAAGTGGAGAAGTAGAGTCACAGCGTGGAAAACAGTTTCGGTCGCAGGTACAGGAATGTGCGTCCACATTCCCTTCCGGCTGAATCCCATAGCTTCGTTGGCATGGCTAGGGAAACAGCTGCCATGCCCCCTGCCTGATTGGAGTGGTCGAAGGAAACCCTTTGTCCAGGGGTGGACACACACAAGCCGCCGGCTTCGGCGCTTTTTCAAGACACCCCCTACCGTTGAACCAGTGGACGAAAACCTGTTGCCCAGGGGTGGACACACACACAGAGCCGTTTTCGGCGCGGTCAAAGTAGTAGTAAGGCCAGGGGCCTCCAGTAGCGTCCTAACTCCCAGGGGAACATTTGTACAAAAAGCGCCAAATTGTTGGCGCAACGAAGAACTAGTAGACACCTAAAAAGCCTTAGAAAGACAGAAAAAGCAACGAAACAAGAGCAGACTAAGAGGGCAAGAAAGAAAAGTAGGGTAGTTACGAGGCCCACTTAGTAAAACGAAAGTAGAAGGCGAGCGGGACATTCGTCTTAAACCGCCCGGGTAGCTAGCAATAGCTAGGAGAAACAGAAGGGAAGGCACCAACACACAAGTGTGTTGAGTGCGATTTCCTTCTGTTTCCCGAGTAGCGGGTGGGATAGCAACGGAGGCCTGGGGGGAGGGAGGGGGTGAAAGAGTGACTAGGGCGTACACGGTAGAGGTGCAGACCGCTAGTGTCTTTTATGCGCAGAGTCTTATCCTCTTGCTCTTTAGGTCCATTGACCCTCTCTTGAGCCTTGTAGCAGTCAAGCATGGACACACTATATCAGCTGTTGGAGTGGAACCCTGTACAGGAGGCTCTACTTTTCAGCAGGCACAAGATTCATGTCCACTTCTAGCTGATTGCGTATGTCGCATACTCTTTTTCTACTGCAAGGCTAAAACAGTCCAGCTAGCTCTGACAACTTAAAAGAAAACTACGGTGCCATATACTTACCTAATCCAGTGTGTTTCACACTTTGGAGAAGGTAATCTCATAGCTACTAAATACAGTGAGGGAGCAATAGCTGACTCACCTCAAGTACAAAATCAAATCGATAATGTACCTCGGCTGGAGACTGTACTTTTCGCAGGCGGAGATACCATGTATCGGCGCTCACTAGCTCTTTATGGCCTGAGCTAAATCAAACTAAAAAGGGAAAGCGGCTTTTTCTCTACAGAGACCTATCAAAGAATCAAACGACACTCGCGTAACAAAGAACTAAAAATTCAAGACCGCGCAATGCAATGAATTAAGATGCCTTGCAAAATGCAAGGAGCGTACGGTCCGAGAAATAATCTTCTCGTGACGTGGTCTCGACCGCTTTCATTCACAGACAAAATAAAACTGCATCAAAAGGACTCTCTTTCACATTCACATCAAAAACACAAGAAGGAGATACCGGCAAATGTATGTACAAAAAAATCTTGCACTACAATTGCGAATCATGAAATGACTTAATCATCAACCATGAATGGTTGTCCATTAGAGGTCATCTCAGAAAAGCGACTGTGATAGATATCATCAGTTATGCAAAACTGTCCATACCTATCTACATGCTAAAGCGTATAAACCTGGAATGCAGGAGTATCTTCTTTGATAAAAAGTTTCTCCTGGTTGCAAACCAGAGTTCATTAAAACTTCAGCCTGGCAACTTAAAGTCAAGCCTGGAAGCAAAGTATCAACTGTAACCAGAAGTATCTTCACTTCCTAGCCATCATTTAAATTTCAGCCTTCGCTCAGGAACTATGCCGCTGCAGACGATGAAGCTGCTTGATCAGAAGTTGGCGGCCTTCCTTTCTTTCTATTCTGCTTTTGTCTCTCCTTCCTCCGCAAGTTCGCCTCATGAAGAGTTGCTCCCATGCGATACTGTCTTCTGTCTCCAGATGAAAAGGAAGCTGGTCTGAGTGAAATAAACATTGGACCATGACTGTCCTCGTCAGTGGGCCTTGAGCACATAACCTCTGTATCAATCATAGCAAAGTTCTCTGAAAAATTACAGATGAACTCCTTCGTGCTCACTGTGGAATTTTCATATTCCTCTTCACTCATTGAATGACCCCATTCAACAATGGTAGACAAACATGTATCGCCAAGCTGTGATCCTTGGTATTCTTCTTTTTCAACAGTAGAATATTCTTCCCAGAGTTTGTCAAAGTAATCTTCACACTTCTTGAGGACCTGTGAAGTTGAACTGTAAAATGTTCTGGGAATAGGTGCTTTGATACCAAGATCTGCTTTTACACGAGCTTCTGAAAACTTGCGGATCCAATGCTGCATGGTGCTATAATAGTAATTAGCCATTGGCTGTCTTTTGTACCCAGACATTCTGTAGGCCAAACTATTTGCATCACCAGAAATGATGTCCACCTCATAGACAAAACACTCATAAAGCATCAATGCTGTTTGTTCTCCTGTCAGTAGGTGGGCATCCACAGCACGGTGTGTATCAACATGATAATTACAGACTCTGATGGTATGCATGTTCGCTCGAGTAAGTGGAACACGCTTGTCCTCAGGACCATAGTCATCAAATTCAAAGTCTGCATCCTTGAAATCTTGACGAGGCCTTGTTTCTCCAAAACAAATCTCGTAGATAGCCCAAGTTACATCACGCTGTTCACAATGACCAAGTTCTTGATCATGTCCAGCAATGATCTTGACATATCCACCTGGTGCCAATCTAGCCATCACTGCAAGATTCTCCCAATCATTGAAACAAACTGTCCAATTCTTTTGCTCAATAAATTCCTTGGCAGGAACAAGAAGATGAGCTTCCTGGAGAATCACGACATGTGCACGTAAAAAGAAGAGCATGTTGAGGAAAAGGTTGTTTTCAAATTGCTCATATTGAAGTGACATGGCACTCTGCTTGCGTGGCTTCATTGCACCATCAAGTCCTTGGAGAAACCTTGGTGTGGTGTACTTCTGACCACGAACCATGTTGCCATAGTTCCAGGATAAAAATGTCAAGGACTCTGAGCTGGCCAATAAATTAGTTCCATATGGTTCTTCTATTCTTCCCTTGAGGAACCTTCTGCACAGCTCTTCATAGAAGGTGACAAAGTCCCAACTGGGTCCCTTGGGACCACATGATTCCAGTTCATTCTTGAGTTCCTTCTTCGTCTCCTCCAATTCTTCTCGAGCATGTTCTGCCCTTTCAAGGGCCTTTGGATCGACCTGATACCTGCCATCCAAATAAATGATGCGGTCATCATTGATGAAGAATCTCTTCAAATCATGCTCTGGTTCATGTTCATAACAATCAGGTGGAGGTACTGGACAGATATTGCGAATGGATCGAACAAAATCATTCTCGTTGATCCTCGACTGATAATGAGGATGGGAAATCTCACCTTTTCTAAAACAAACATGATTCAGCAATCTTGCATGAGTTTCCCTGAAGCATAGTTGATAAAAGCCAATACCTGGATCTCCTGTAATCTCTCCAAGCAACTTCAAAGGTGAAGTATGCAATTCATAGGTATCGTCAGCTTTTGTTGTATCCTTTTCAACAACTACTTCAGATGGAAAAGATTCTTGGATTTCAGCCTCCAATTTCTTCTCTCCATCATCCTCTCTGACCTCTTTTATTTTCTCCACCGCCTCTTTCTTCTCTTCCATGGTTGCATCATCCTGAACTTCTTCATGAAAATGAGGATCAGGAATTTTATTCAGGCGGCTTCTCTTCGATTTCCGCTGACCTGAAGTATCATCAAGGTTAGCATCCATCTCACCTGATGGTAAGTGCGATGCAGTCGAGTCCTCACCTATCTCTCTTGACAGAAAGTGTGGTGTTGACTCTTCCTTGGCTTCCTCCTGGTCAACTTCCATCTTTGGTTCCTCTGAAGGAAAAATACCTGCATCTTCATCAAATATTTCTTCTTCCTTTTCAGGTTCAACTGCAGGATCTTCTTCAGGAACTTCCTCTTCCATATTCTCATCTTCTAGAAGTGTCATACTTCCAGTATAGACTTCACCAGCAATAGTGGAGACTCTTGTATAAGGAGGAACTTCTTCACCTGCTTCAAAAGCTTGTTCTGCAACATCCTTGGTGAGCAAGTCCTCTACAAGATTTTCTCCCTCGGTTCTTGGAAGAGGTCCTGAGGTCTCATAAAAATCTGTCCTCTCTGAACTGAAAGCTTCTGTCGCCTTCTCATTGTCCTTTTGATCCCTGAACAGGTGAGTAATCTTCACAGCTTCTCCCTGTAGCACCTGATCACCTCCTCTATACTTGTCGACAATGGAGCGCCATACTGGAACATCATCATCATCAAAATCAAGCTCCATATCATCTGCCAACAGGTATGAGATGTTTTGAGCTGCCTGTTCTTCTTCTTCATCACGTTCCTTGGCAAGCTCCTCATCCTTCTGGATCTTGAAGATACCTTTCAGGATGTCTTGTAGTACCTTTAAGTTCAGCTTCGATGATGGCTCATACGTCCCTGAACTTACAGGCTCAACTACAACACGAGAGCAAGAAATCGCCTCCAAAAACTTGGAATTGTATTGGCGTTCAAACTCTTCCTTCTTGATCATCTCATACAAGGGATCAGAAACTGCAACACGCGCCTGAACATACTCACGAAGTTGATAGCATGCATGTTGCACAAATCTACTGTTGGAGTTGTGAAGAAAACTCTCCAAATGATTCCTGTCACGGTCAATCAAATACCACACAATCCTTGCAGAAAAACGGAATTTCTTGAAGTTCATAGCAAAATG